AGGTTTCATGAAAAAAAAAACTACCAAGACAGTTTTCCAACATATCACTTTTGAGTTCTTTCTTAAAGGATTTCTTACTGGTGTTTACTTGCAATGATCTGTTTGTCTTGTATTTATAATGTGTATAGTACCTACAAATGGAAATCTGTTTTATAGTTAAAATATCTTATAAACATCACTCTAAAATATATAAACACGTAAGAGCAATTTTTTAAAAACTTAAAACTGTTCAAACATGACTCAGTAGAGATTCCAGCAATACTTCTGACAACTTTCTTCCGTGCAATGAAATCATCCAGAGCATGGGTAGAGCTACCCCATAAGCAAATTCCAAAACGGAGTCGAGATTCGACCTGGGCGTAATAAAGTGAGATTAAATGAGCTATGTTTAATATTGACGTATGTTTCTAAACATGGAAATAAGCGAGTTTAATGTGGTTGTCAACTTTTCACATTGAAGCTTCCATGATAGCGTGTCGTCACCGTGCAGACCCCAAAGTCTAATTAAATTACACTCGTTCGTTTGAAGTGTTGTGCTGCCTACCGTGATTTGTATATTACAACATTATTTTGAACGGTATGAAATCGTAGACTTTTTGTTTTCTCTAGATTCGTGTCAGGGTCTAAATCACTCAAGTAAGATACTGCATTATGTACGACAGTAGAAAATTACTAAATATTTTGATTGAAGCTTTTAAAATAAACTCGTCAAGCTAGGAAAGGAAGACCGTAATTTTGGGCTGTTTCGCCCACCTACAAATTTAATTCAGATGTGTGTCAAGTGGAAGTTTTATGAGATAACAATAATCCTAAGTTATAAATGAAAATCTTTTTATAAAAGAAGCATTCCTTATCGTATGGGCAATCACTTATACCGGAAGAAGTTATAAGTATACTCAACAAAATAGCTTCGGAAACAAGCATTAATCCATCCTACACCATACACAGTATACGAGTTTTTTATAAAACAAACGGAGGTTTACAGTTTAACTTGTTGAACGCGTCTTTCCTCACATTTCATTACACATCAGTCACCATGCCTCTGATTATTCTTGGCGATTTCATCATAATGGAATCTGGTTGATCCGGTATCGCTGAAGCATTCGCCATCAAACAAGGGTTTCCCCGAGTTTCTTCGCACAACAGCACTCTCTACAGAAGCTTTTCATATCCAGGTATTATGTGCCATAGAATAATGCTTTCCAGTCTCCCTACGGTAAGTCTGATCACGATGTAGAGGTCAAGAGGCGAGTTGCAATCAAAGGCGGCTGTGACAACTGAAACTCTCTTTTTTTCGGCGGGTCCTGGAGAGGTGTTTGTTTAGCTAATTCGCGTCGGCAAGGAGGGAATCTTCCATCACTGCGGCCAACGTCCTTTCACGTGACCGTTGCTAATAATTTGTAGAATAAAGGAAAATATAACAAATATAAAACAATCCTCGTAATTCCTGTGGCTTCAAGAAATCACCAATGATTATTTCTTTTTCACCATAATTCATCAATAATCCTCCCAAGTCCTTGTAATATCCAAAAATTCACCAAAATTCTCACTAGATACATATTACGGAAAATTCAGGCAAATCGATGCTCTAAGGCCCGTATCGTAAGTCGTCCCTACAATTGTAGGGTGCGTTTATGGCCTTGATTTCCTACAATTTAAAAGGAAAACATATCTTAACAATTGGAGAGCCCTGACGCTGACACGGGACAAGTGTAATCTAGAAATTTTTGAAGGAGAGAAAGGAGTATGACAATCAAGGAGGCCATAAACGCGCCCTACAATTGTAGGGACGACGGACGATACGGGCCTTAGCAACTGCCTTAATAAACTTCTTCATATAACTAGTTTAGCCCTCTTGCTTTACGTTTGTAGACACTATTCAAACCTCATTAGTGCCGCGTCAAAACAAATGCGAGAATGGCTTCTTTCTACGCGGCTAAATTGATTTCTTGCGCTATTCTGAATCGGAATTTCCAATGGGTGCGGCTGTGCTGTCGCCTGTTGGGAGGACCAACATTCGAAAACAGACATTCTATACATCTTGCTCAACTTTAATTTTGAGTAATTTCTACTTTGAAATTGTACAAAATTTCCACAACTCACCGCTCTTCCCAATAATTTCCTGCAATTTTTATCTATTCCCCGTAATGCCTAAAAATTCTTGTTGTTTGTAGAATAAAAATAGTCCTCAGAGTTGAGACCTTCCTTTTCAGAAACTACTACGTTAAACGTAAAAAAGAAATACTAAAAAAGTACTAACTAACCATTTCATCAAGTTCTGCCTTATCACCGTTGTTTTGCTCGTAAATACTGCTGAAGTTGCCACCGTTCGATTTAAAAACACTATTGATAACTTTTTTTCAGATTTGCAACATTGTGGGCGATATCTGAAATGATCTAAATGCACTCATGAATTATTCGTCGAATCTTAAAGACACCGTAAACTAACATCAAATCCACAACTTCATTATTGCTATAGGAAGGTGCATGTGGGCAAATACCAAAAAGTCTCACAATTGCTCACGAAATCATGCTAAATATGCAAATTTTGCGCTCATCTCATTCAAATTTGAATCTCACCGTATACATACACATATCAGCAAAAATTGATTTCAAATTAATTACTGTCAGAAAAATCGGCAGATATCGCCAATTTGCTGGATACTGGGCGCCACTCGCGCCATTCGTCAAGCTATCCATTTGAGTTGCCATTTGAAGTCGTTAAATCGCCACTTTGGCGAAAAATCGCCACGCCTGGCAACCTGCCACAAAACATCGTATTGTGACGTAGGATGCAGGGTCGGGCTGACCCACTCAAAGTTTTTTGGATTCTAATATCTCGGGTATTTTAAGACTTTGGTGTATGTGGTACTATAAGAAAACTACCTGATTGTTGCCTGACCTATATATACGAGCCCCTTCCCACTTCAGTTGGCCCAACTATTGAAATCTTAGTTTTTTCTTATCAAACACAAATAATGAAAATATAACAGGGTGTTATAGGTTTAAAATATTAACAATGAATATTTTGATAATATATAGTAGAAAACACCAACTTTATCCCTCCCTAATCAAATTTGCAGCATAAAAATAACACATGTTGCAATTACTGGCTGGGAAAAATAAAAGCCATGACAATTGTTTTTATTAATCACAGCTCTCAGAATACGTTTAAAATAGTTTTGGGTAGTTAAGGTTTTCAAAATGGGTAGAGGAAAGGATATTAGTGAGAAAATTCGGTTACTGGTAGTTAATTTTTTTAATTCTGGGGAATCAAGCTCAGAAATTGCAACTTTGTTAGACTTATCGCGGTACAGTGTGAGAAATATTGTTAGAAGATATAACGTAACTGGTTCAGTTAATAGTAAGCCACGATATGTGAAAAAAAGTAATATCACAAATGCCGACCGAAGAGCATTAAGAAGAATAATCGTGAAAAACAGGTATGGCAATTATTTACAATTAAGTGCTCTGTGGAGTGACGCTGTTGGAAGGAGAATTTCGAGGTCCACAATTCATAGAGAGGCCCACAAACTGGGATTTAACACTTTCAAGGTAAGTTTTCTTATAAAAAAAAGTGAAGTAAAAACCCTAAAGTTGCACAACTTGTTTATAGGCCAAAGAAAAGCCACTATTAACTCCACTGCAAAAGAAAAATCGGCTTAGATGGGCTAAAGAACATAGACAATGGACACCTCACCAATGGTGTGCAATACAATGGAGTGATGAGGCCCGATTCGAAGTTTGTGTTGGTGACAGTCGCAGTAGAGTTATTCGGAAAAAATGAAGCATTCCATGTTGACTGTCTGAATAGAAAAGTGAAATTTCCAGCATCCATTATGGTCTGGGGCAGTATGTCATCAAAAGGAGTAGGAAAGCTTCATTTTATTGATGGAAATGTGGATACAAACAAATATTTGGCAATTTTAGAAGAATAGCTTTTACCAGTGATGGAAGAATGTTTGACATCCGACCAAGATTTTGTGTTTCATGATGATGGTGCAGCGTGTCATACCTCAAAAAAGGCTATAAAATGGATGGAAGAAAATAATGTACCACTTTTGAAATGGGTTTCTAGCAGTCTAGATCTGTCACCTATTGAAACTTTGTCGCACGAGATAAAAAAGCTTCTACGACAACATCCTGCTCGTACAATCACCGAACTGAGACAAAAGCTTCAAGAAATATGGGATTGTTTTACACCAAATTTTTGCCAAAATTTGGTTAACACTATGCCCCAAAGAATTTCAGCCGTAATAAAAAATAAAGGTGATGTTACCCAATGGTAATCTTTCAATTGTTGCTTTGTTAACTTCGCGCATTTATTCGCACATTGTTGATTTGTTCAGATGTTCTATTAGTTATAGGTCTACGTGATTTCAAATATGTATTTTTTACGACTAGAGTGTATCTAAAATGTTTTTGAGAAAATAAATTGTTTTAGAAGTAAATAGTTTCGTCATGTTTAGTTTATAAAGGCATATTTTGGTACAAATCTTGAAGTGAGCCAACTGAAGTGGGAAGGGGCTCGTATGCTCTGTAAAGGAAAATCCCTACACTGAGGACACCCTCCATTTTGATCGTCACCATCTGATTCAAGACACTCTGGCTATCTGTATTCGAGGAAGTTACAGTCATGATTTATGATCATTATTCTTCAAGCTAGGGTGCAAAATGATCCAATCCTCCTCTGATGTGTTCACTCGATCCGCACCTGTACACAAGTAATGAAAGAAACAAAGGATAGATGGCAGCAGGCAGAGGACTTGAGAACCAGGACCCAAGGTGTCAGTGGTGTAGTACTGTAGTTATTGTTGCAATTTATTTAAATATGTAAAGCCCGAACGCCAAATCAAGAATATCAGATAATGCTAATAAGATAAGATGATAACCTAATGTTCGAAACCATTCTATATTGTTTACAGAAGCAACTATTTGGCAAGATCTTGAGTTCTTGTACCAATAGTGCACCTGGAACAAACCTTGAATTTATGTGTCAACGCATGTGTCAAGTCAACGCCGTGACGGCCAGTGTCAGCCGTGTCAATATAAGAGACAGGTGGTTTTTATGTATATATTTTTGATTCTGACTGATTTCAACAAATTTTTAACGTATCAAATCAAAATATTTTTCCATTGTAGTCTTCCGTAGAAAGGTTATCCGCTGAACTGTCCTCCAGTCTCGTCTTTGATATAGGCACTGACAAGCCTTATAAAAATTGCCTCCAAGGTGAGGTTCCTTCTGCCAACTCTCCTTTTCCTTATATAAAGCTATCGTAGTTAAATTATTATAAAACGATTATTCATAGTAAAATTGGAATATAAAATGTATAATAATTTGATCTTAAACTGTTGGAATTATCTCTGAATTTTAAAGAGAAGTGTTGAAATAAAAATGGGTAAAGCATACCTGGATATAATAATAACGAAGAGATAGATTATTAAATATAATATGTTTATAGTAGTAATTGCTGCCTCTAAAGTGTTTTCTTCAATTTTCAGATGGACTATGATTACTTGATCAAATTTCTGGCTCTTGGTGACTCAGGTGTAGGAAAAACTAGCTTTTTGTACCAATATACAGATGGATCGTTCAACTCAAGATTTATATCCACTGTAGGGATTGATTTCAGAGAAAAACGACTGGTAAAATATTGCACTTTCGTTAATATATCTGAATTAACCAACACTTTTTTAGATTTACCAGTCTAAAGGCAGAAAATATAAGATACATTTACAACTATGGGACACAGCTGGGCAAGAAAGGTAATATACTTAACTTTGCATCAAACATATAAATTATTTTAGTTTTACTGGTATAATTTGCTAAATTTGAAATATGATACCAACATTTTTTTTTCAATCACACCATAAAGTAATTGTTTTGAATCAGATTCCGCAGCTTAACAACAGCATTCTATAGAGATGCAATGGGATTCTTGCTCCTTTTTGATCTAACAAATGAGCAATCATTTCTTGAAATTCGTAATTGGATTGAACAGCTGAGGGTAGGACAAATTTATAATTGTGGTGAACGTTGATGTATCTCCCTGTCTGCTACTATGCTCTGCTTATTTTTTTTTTGCTATAGATGTTTTGATACTAGTCTTATTCAGATGCATCTACCTGGCCCCTTATATTTATGTATCTATTGTTACACTCACTTGCACCTAGCTGCTACCAGCTAGTGCTATAAGTATAACTCAGCTATTCTGCTCTAGACGTTATCTAGTCCAACACTTTTTGAAACCCTTGAGACTAACTGGCAGAAGTCAGATATGTGAAACAGGTGATGCTGAGTTGAGTAGCTGTGCTACTTGTCAGCAGGTTTTCAGTGAATAGTGACCAATATTCTTATAATCCATCCTTCACACAGTGCGTGCTCATAATAGCTAAGTGTGACTGAATGTAACCATTGTACCTTATGTAGATCTTAATATTCTTGTAGCTGGTATAATAATCATTATTCAAGTCAATAATATTCAATATTACAAAAACCTCAATTATGCAAAAACAGTTGGACATTCAGAACATTGCCTAAAAGGTTTAACTAGATATTTTTATACACACAGTGTATTAATGTATTATTCTCCACAGCTAATTATATGTAATCAGTCTGCAGTAATGACATTATGACAAAACATAGGTTTTGTGATAAATTTGCCATAATAAATACCTAGAAAAGATGTCTAGAATGTCACTGATGTGAGTAGAAGTTACCAACCACTAAAATTTGTTCAAAATTCAAGAAAACTTACGTGTATGCTAAACACAACCAAAAGCTTTATAAAAGTCTCTGGAAGCAAAAGTTAACAAGGAAGGATTGGTTAACAAATCAAATTATGTTCAAGAGTATTATTCAAAACTGTAACTTACTAAACTTACAGATAAAAAGTGACTTGACATATATTTTTGCTTCCAGTAGATTATATCAGAGTATTGAAGTGTTGCATTGATATTGTTTAGATGTATTGTGTCCCCTTCATTAATTTTCCCTCTAGATTTTTGTTTTTCAACAATTGCAGGAATTTTTCACTGTTACATCCTTTGAACAGTTGGGTTCATTGAACTCCAATGCACTCTGTATTTCTATATGTGTACTAAGATTATTGTCTGGCCTATATCTTCTCAAGTAACAAGTTGTTGATGTGATGTATGTTAAAAGATCACTATATGGAACATTTTGTATATGGAGTGTTTTTCAGATTCATGCATATTGTGAAACACCTGATATAATTTTGTGTGGGAACAAGGTTGATATGGAAGATAAACGCATTGTGGCTGAATGGAGGGCTAGAGAATTTGCAGAGAAACATGGGTATGATATGTAACATCTGAAACTCATCCTGTGGTTTTCATGCTGATAGGATTCCATGGTTGCCTGACCGCTAAATGATACTATGGTTGAATTCCTTCGTTTCGCTAACGTTTTTGTTTTTTAAAGTATGTTAGTAAAAAGAATGGATTCAAACATGTTATTTCATTTATGTGGCTAGATAACCAACAATCCTATGGGTATGATATATCATATTAATTGTGCTCTAATTAAGCTAATATGCTTAGCTAGTTTAAGAAAAAGAAGATAGAAATTAGGCAAAGTGATGATGATCCAAAAACATAAGTAAAAAAGTGACACTGAAAATCAATCAACCTTTCCATATTATACCCAGCTTTTAGAGTCCGTACAAGGTGTCACTAAACACTACATAGGCAGGGTTATAGCAACGTTGCCAGATGGTCGGTACTAACGGTAGGACAGGGAAGAAATTTATAGATCACAACATCGTCAAATGGGTGGGGACTATGGACTAAGTGTATGCACTTATTTAACTGACTTGATCCATTGGATTTCTTTGTTATACATGTTTGTAGCTGAAGTTTTTCTCAGGGGTCTAACTCAGGCCAAACATAATCCAGAGTCAGAGTCAACCTACTTGACACTATCTGGAATACCATATTAGAGGGTATCCTTAGTACAAGAGTGCATAAAATTATATGTTCTGTTCTTTAATGAAACGACAGTATCCATTTCATGGAAGACCAGTGGGGTACTTTGAAAAATTCAAGAAATGATGCTTTTAGTCTAATACGTACTTGAGTGTGAAAATAAATGCCTTATGTGCAAGTAACTTATTAGCAGGGACATATACGTCCTAAAAATCGTAAACCTTTGAGATGACTGCTCTGAACAGACAATGAATTGGCCAGTGGACTATACTCAGGCTCAAGTACCTAAACATAAAAGGCTGGCTCTATAAATTTTAAATCATTTGGCATCACCCAAATCAAATTAAGCAACTTTCAGATTCTGAATTAATCAACTTTCTCTTATTAATTAATTCGATTCCCCCCTTTTTCTTCTTTTCTTCCTTTCTTTTGTCTTCCTCTATCTTCTACTTGATAAAAAATCTCCTCTGTATGAGCCAAGGAATATTTTGAGGAAACATCATTCTGCCAGACAAGAGCCAATGTTCTGCAGACTGCTCAAATAAGAAACAACGAGATGAGATGAAATGAATTGTCAAAATCGACATATTATTTCTTATTCTGTATTAAAAGACCTTTCAATTGGCAGTGTTCCAGTGGAAAATAAAATTTCCAAGATTTCTATACATCATCACCAAGTGACTACTTCATGCATGCTAAATTGATGATGCATATTCTCAGGCTTCCATACCTCGAGACCAGCGCAGCAACTGGTCAGAACGTGACCAGAGCCATTGATATTTTACTAGAACGAGTCATGATCAGAATGGAGACTGCAGTAGACAGATCAATGCTTCCAGGCAGAAGAGGTAGACCCAAAGACCTGAATGATCCTGATCTCAATACTCAAGAGCAAAATAATTGTACAGCATGCTGATGTTGTCGAGTACAGTAATTTCCTGTTGATTTTTCGACCAGTATTATGTTTATTATAGTTTAGTGCATTTTGCAAAATGGTTAGTGAAAATGATCTTGGATGATTGTTGTGTGTATATGTTAAATATTTTTAGTATCATGATGTTACGATTTATTGTGGATAATTTGGAGTGTTCAAATTGTTTGCAACATTTATCTTGAGTAGCACAGAAAATCCATATAAGTATTTTTAAAACAATGTGATCTTTAAAAAAGATTGATTGCACAAAATTACAAAGACAAATAAGTTCGAAGCACCGATTTTGGCGGTTACATATCAGTATCATATGTATAAATAAACAGATCGCCTAACTGCATCATCTGCGGAGCTTATCACAGCTGCAACTCGCTCTTGCACACATAAAATGAGTATAGATGGCTGTTGTTTTTATTCACTTTGTGGAATTAGCACCTTGTCGACTTTGTCCACCACTTGTATTTCTTGGCATTGTTGTATTTTATACCTTAAGGCGGCTCCGACGCAGTGAGTTTCAGTCCATTTACAAGGGTTTAGCTGCTTCGGAATTGACGCTCTATTTTTCTATATATTTGAATAAAATTTTTACAGTATGTTCAGAAGATATTTGTCCAGGGTGCTATAGAGCCACTTTTCTAAAAAAAAAATTTGTTCAAGAGTTATGGTTGGTGGAAGTGCAGATAATTGTTGTTCGACTTCTCGATTTTTTTAAAAATAACCCAGAGGAAAAAACGAAAAAGTGGCTCTATAGCACCCTGTGGAGTCTTGTTTTTAGTGCACTGTAAAAATTTCATTGAAAAATATTCAAAAATGAAGCGTCAATTTTGAAGCGCGAAAACCTCTGCAAATAGGCTTTTACACGAATTTTATCCACTATCTCGTGCTGCCAGTCGAAGCAACGCGGCGGTGTGTACGGACTAAGAAAGGACGTATTCAGATAATTTGTTGTCCCAAGTAGCAGTTTTGACGTCGGTCGTTCGAGATAAACATCGGACCAGTAAGTGACACTTTTAATAGACTTCAATGAAAGAGGGGAAATTATTAATCGATTTTGATCATTTCTTTTTATACAATAGGCAATGCTTCAGAGGTGATCCCACAAAAAATCATTTTTGTTCAATCACCCCAATATGGATATCAAATGGAAGTACTTGAACAAAACAGTAATACGAAAACAGTTTCCGATCAAGATCGCGGCCGTCACAAAATGGCGGATAACATACTTGCTAATATCTCAAATAAGAGTCGTCGCCTTGTAGAATACAGTACTTCACTAAAAATATGATTCCAAGATTGCTCCCGTTTCGAAATTGCGAGTTACATATTTTTGTACAAAACCCCCAATTGTGGCGCTTAACGTGTCAATGTGACATTTCAATATTCGCCATCTAACAGACTAGATAAAGCTAGCCGATGCTACGTGCTATTAAGCCTGACGATTGACTTTTATTTAAATAAACAATATATACATAACATACAATAAATAGTGAACGTCTGGTACTAGTACCAAAATGGAAGAGATTAGCATAACATCTCGCACATCGCTGCTAATGCGAGATCTGCACACCGAAGGGGTTAGTAACGGCGTACAATGTAATATGCTAATCTCTTCCATTTTGGTACCCGAGTACAGCAAAAATAGCCAATTCTCAAGAACTCTTTTTCTTGTTCAAACGGTTCTCTTGTGCCTTCAAGATCGCATCGGGATCGCGGATTGGCATATTTCTGCTTTTCCTGGAATCGACCAGTTCTGGGAGCAAGCAGTTCATGTAGAAGAATTTCAATTTCTCTCCCATTTCATTTTTCCAGAAAACGTCATCCCTTTGAATGACGTCTATTTTCAAACGATACGGGGTCTAAGCACCAAGCACACAGTACTCTCTTTGTGCGACGTGTAGCTGCCCTTGAATTTGGTAATACCACTTATGTTTTTTATTTATTTCATCGTTTATCCAAAACGTAATTTTTTTGTTAAGAATGCCCTCTTCAGAGGTCATTTCTCTAGCCGACCATGGACATTTAATTTCTAGCAGACCTTTTTCATCTATCAAACCATCTGGCGTTGCTGCCAGAAATAGATGGGTCCTATCAATAAACAACCTGCAAGATTGTACTTCTGATTGCGAATATAATTTCTCTATTTCTGCTTTTGCCACGCTTTCATGCTTTTTTCCATAGTCACATGCCTTGCTAAAGAATTCGGTTGGGTATATTATGGCGTTTACTAGAGCTCTGCAACTTGTTGTATCTCTTCTTCTACAAACCTCACCAAACCGAGACGCAGTTAACCTCATTCTTCGATGAAGACGCCACAAATTGCAATCCTGAGATTTTGTGGCTTGCTCGATCTGGGAAATTTCGGAGTCGGTTTTTGCAAGTTTTTTCAAGAATTCTACCTTGGCAGCCTCTATATCTTCGTTGCTCATGTCAGGCTTCTCACAGAATTCCCCATAGGATGCGTTCTCTTTAGTATCACTATCTCTGATTTTAATTTTCCTTGGTTTCAGCTTCTTTTTCAGATTTTTGTGCGCTCTCCTTTCTTCAACTTTAGCAATCAAAGAGGTTGGACTGAAACTAGGGAGTAGCCGCTTTTGGATCACACAAACAGGCCGCTGTGTATTGTGGCTCACTACGGCTGCAGCACATCTTCCTTGGTAGGATCTCTTCTTGCAATAATTAATCCGTTTACCCCCAATGAATTTAGCTATGATCGAGTTAAACTGCTCTACAATATTATTATCGACGTCAAGAAGTAAACTTACTGCATTTTTAATCAGAATTGCTAGAAATGATATCAGCCTCTGGTGCAAATCTAAAAAAAAGGGTATACACACCTGAATTTGAAGATCCATGCCATCTGTCTCTGTTAGAGAATGCATATGCGAAACCTTGCTGTCATTTTTAAGCTAAAATAACATATAAAATATAGTTATAATAGTAACTACGTATAGTCTAATTTATTGGCAAAATGAATGCTAAAATTCATAATTGTTTTGGTACCTACCTTTCTATCTGGATAACGTTTTTTTTTTCTGTTCGTATTTAAATGCGGCTTCTTCGAGACGCCACGTTTATTTCTCTTATTGTTCATTTTTGATACCTTGGTAAGAAAGACACTCAACAATAACAACACGATAATACAATACAATAACGGTAATAAGAGTAATAAGAGCTGGGGTATACTATGCGCCAAAATAGGAAACAGTCCTACGCTAGATCGTATATCCGAATCAAATCCGACTCTGTGCAATATGCAAATTCACCCAGGCACGCGAACAGCACACCTCTGCGTATTACTATCCTTTTCTAACGTAGAGCGCTTGCCTTGTCACAACGCCGTCCTACTAGCGTTTCCCTATCACCCCCCCGATTCCAGTCAGAAACTCTGCTTGACTGTGAGAGCGCCGTTAAGATCAAGAAAATGTAAATTAAAACACACGCTCCAGACTCTAAACCATTGCTTTGTCAAACTGACAGTGACAAGTAGGGGGTGTCACTTTAAGAATTTTTTCGCGAGTCCACGGTGTAGCACAGTGCACTTCCGGGGACCGATACTCAAATTTTCGCGAATAACGGGAATACGGGAAGGTGGATATGACGCCGTCCAAATGTAAAAAAATCACGTGGTACGGGTAACCGCTTAACGTCGATGGGGTACTAGCGGGTGACAGGTCTTATGTCAATGTCAGTTGAAAAAAAAAATATCGGAAAATTTTTGATAGTGCCGAAAATTAAGGAAATTATCCAAAAATAAATCAAGAAAATGGAGGAACAGATCCCCTTGCTTTTAAATGACGAGGGAGAAGATTTTGAAGTCTTCGTAGATATAGGAACTATATATAGGCAATTATGCTAAGCATGTCAATCATTTGACTCTCAATTACCATACTGTGTGACCACTGACTATAGTTTCTGAATTATTTACCAGGGTATGAAACAAAGCCGTTTTTTATTGTTTCAAATTCCATTTCACTTGACTGCTAACAAATTAATGTGTGCTTCATGTTAACAATGACGTATAAATATAAGTTAACAATCTTCATAATGGATGATGCTGCTAACTTGAATCCGTGGCCCAATGAATTCAAGGTATCCTGGGTTCCCATATAAACTAGAAATACAAGCAGTAAATCAACAGGCCCAATTCTAACATTTCCCCCAGTAAACTTTTTCAGCACCAGCTTATTAGTATTAGGATTCCTTAAAATTGACACCAATAAGTCTTGAAAAGATGTCTTTGTCAATATAAAGATTTCAAAAAGGTGATTTCATGATATTTGTCCAACCATTCTTCTCCCCTGGGAGCATCAACTTTGAAATAAGTATCTCTGAAGGATGGTACTGGTGTAGAATCCAGATGCAAAAATTGCACGACTAAATCTGTTGATTCGAAAAAGAATTCGCGAACGAGGAATAGTAAATACTCAATCATTTTAAACGAACACCAAACAAAAGTGCAAAGCACAACAAATTTAAACTTTTCAAACATGTTATGTTTAGTATTATCCGTCAACAGATGCGCCACCTAACCACACGGTAACTTGAATTGTCAAAACTTTGTGGAGAGGGGGAAATTCAATCTGTCAACGCTCAGTTCACTACGGGATGTCGCGAAAAAATCCTTTTGTACCCTCCTTTGAGCACTATCTAAAGAAAGCGAGTCTGGCTAACTGCATTAAAAATACGTAATAGTCTCACTTGTTAAAATGTCATCAGGGTCAAAAAATACCAGGACAATGGTTGATTCCAAAAATAGAAATGTGAAGTTTTTGTAGCTGTGTGGACCAGTATCAGGCAAGATCTGTGTAAGGCATTAAGAGGATATAGTGATATTTCGTCCATTGAAGAACTGTGTGCAATAGGGAGAAATTATAGTTTCATTACAGTAAAAGGAATTTTTTGATGTCCATAGCTGTGTCGATAAGAGAGAAAGAGTTTGCTAAGAGAGCGGTCAATAACTAATTTAACAGCAAAAGAGGCAAAAAAGGGGTCCGGAAAATGATCGTGATTAACTCCTGCGGTTGGAAGCGACAGTCACCACATCTGATACTGGAAGAGAGTGTTAGATCTGCACAGTTCAAATAGCAATATTTCAGTGATGATAATGAAGAAAAAATATTGTAAACACGTGTAACATGAATTGATTGGAGATGTGTATAGTTTAAAGTATATTGATAATGGAGCGCCGCGCGACTGTGGTTAAATAACATTTTCTGGAAAAGTATCTCCTATGCCACAGGTGGTACTGGAAAGTAGTGGAGAGAGTATTATCTGTAGTCTACCAATAATCTGTGGTGACAGGCATACGTACTTGCAGAATACTCGTACGTAACGAGAAACTTTTCAAGGGTATGAGACAAAACTAACATAATATGTTTGTAAACTTATGACCACACACAGGTAGCTTGCATATGCGTGGGGGAGATGGAGCTATGAAAGTGGTAGTTTTAGTGCGAGCCGCCAAAATCGGTGAAGACTTATTTTGTTGCTTACAGTTGAGCTTTTGTTGCTAAAATCCTCCTTATGTTAGTTAAGTCTTGAAGCACTATACCAGTATTGTGGAGCATTCGTTATCTAGATATACATAGGAGCCAACTGAATATTTTAGGAAGAAAACATACTGTGGAACAGATGGTTTCATTTTTTCATTCGTTCTGAAACATTTAGATTCTATATTCCATCCCTACACAAATATCAATAACTTATTTCTGAATTGTATACACATTCCATTTAATGAACCTGAACTTTGGAGAAATTTCAAAAAAATCCCTATAAACATATGTCCTTAAATGTCTTATTACCAAGATACAGGAAGTTTCTAATGAGAGTCAAAACGGCTATGGTTACTATGGATGCAAATTCTGACGAATTTTTGTTCTGACAAGTTCTGACTAATTCGTTCAAACAAACAAATATCCGTCATCCAGTGAGCGTTCTCACACTGGCTGCGACGAGAACATCAAAGTATGCACGACGTCGTCAGAACCATTTAAGCGTTCACATTTGATTTTTTCTTGCCACCGCGTATTTTTTGCGCACTTGATTATTTTACCATGATAAATTGATAGCATCTGTGTACCAGAACAGTTTACTGTGTGAGGTAAAGACAATATTATCAATAGAACCTTTCAATCTCCCCTGTGTCATCTCTACTAGAAAATAAAAGATTGACATGCTCTGTTTTTCCAACATTTAACAACAGTAACTTCTGTAAAGGATATTCTTCCACGTTTTTCACAGTAGTGAGCTTCTACAGTACATGACAACATTGTGACTGAAACGTTTACTACATTAAAGAAGAGTTTCAAATATAAATATGGTTTCGTTGGCCAAACATGTGAGATTATCTACATAAAAACCACATGATAAGTTTCAATGTTGCATTTCAGTAAAGGGCTTTCAAGAAAATAAAATTCGTCAAATTCATCCGTATTTGTTGGGAGACAGAAACATACTGACTACTAAATGTCAGGTAACCCACAGCGTATTCGCCTTGTTCTGACATCTCGGACCTACTCGTTAGAACTAGATTTCGTCAGAATTCACATTTATATTAACCGTAACCTGAACATTTATCCAATAATGCAATGGTGAGATGGGATTACTCTCCTAATACACTAGAAACAAATAAACGTAAAACTTTACTTTCAGCGTATTTTCAGTAGAATGGATTGAAGTTCTTAATAGAGATCCCCTCGAATAATCAAACCAGTTTTCCTTCAAATAGAATATTTCGAAAAAGATTCTTCAAAACGCCCTATTTATGTAATTTTTTAACAGGTTGACTGCCATGGCGGTACTATACGACTGCCTGGTAGATATACCAGTATGCCATGGCGGTCGTATACGACCGCTATGCACCCGATGAAATATTCGATACTCATCTGCCAGCGGTCGTATTTAGAATGTTTTGAGATACGGTACACGACCGCTGTGGCTTACAAGGCTCGCATGTAACTGCGAGTTTTGGAATTGTTAAAAAATTGTTGACAAAAAAAGCAATTTTCATTTATTTATTTTTTATTGACAAAATTAAAATAGCTACACGAAACATAACAAGAAAAAAGTATAGTATACTACAAACACATATAATATAACTACTTTGAATGTATATTATAACATTCCAAACACAAATGAGTATGGCCTTCGCAGCTACTACAATATGTTACAACCTTTTTTAACTAATATTTGGCTATTTCTCCCCGATTCTTTTTGGCATAACAACCTTTGTCGAAAGGTCCTTGTTTTTTAAGCAACTTATGGATTTGAACTGATTTCTTCGGTGATATTTGCATTGTTTCACTTTCATGATCGGTTTCTTCATAATTCAAAAATGATCTAACTATTTCTTCTCGGAACTCCGTAATTTTCATTTTTTTTATCAGCAAGCTGGTTGTATACTATATGAGAATTTACGGGTGCTGTCCCCAAAATAAATTCTATGGCAAGTTTCCGATACCATTTGAGTGATTTTCTCAAAGGTGAATTATAACTGGTCATCTGATCAGATTGATCAATCGACGATTTTCCTTCGTTATATTCGGTTACTTCTTTCGGTTTTTGAACCATATCAGTGCGTCGCTGTAGATCACAGTTTATGTAGTATGCTTAGTAGTGAGAAGGAGAACATCCCTCTTATCTTTCCACTTCAAAACGCATACACCTCTTTCATATTCTTGTCCAAATACTTCCCCTTTTGTTAATTTTTTTTGTATTACTTCTTTCGGATTTCCACGCCGGTTAGCTCTCACTGTACCAACATAATGTGTTTTATTGCCCAGAAAAATATTTGTTTAGTTCGAGACTTCTATAATACTTGTCAGTTATTCTGTCGTGTGACAGCAGAACCTAGTAAGTCACTTTTTATCAGGTTTGAGAAATAACATATTTTCAATAAACATTCGGCTTTCGAAAAGTTTAAGTTTTATGAATATTAAAAAAATTGTCTGAAGGGTTATGTAACTTGCTAAATTCGATAGCATCAATTTTATTCATGTGATAGTTTTGTTTATGGTAGAAAAGTGACTTACGTTTTTTTTTCATGGTTTCTTTTTCGATATTAAATTAAGATACTTTAGCAGAAAATGGTAAGTCAACTTACTGATTTTTACAAAATTTCGACTAGAGAAAATAAAAAAAAAAGATATTGTAAGTGTACTTACTAAGGTTTTATTTGATATAATTTATGTGCGAAGGCGAACACAAAAAGTAACATATCTACTTACTAACTGGAAAATAAACATTTGAATGAAAAACGGTGGAACATAAAACAGCAAGTCTACATACAAGAAGAACAAGAACTTAAGCGCTAAGCCTCTGATACCACACATAAGTCTTTGGAATTATCATTAGATGGCAAAAACTGCCAAAATAGTTTCTTTCTTTCATCTTTGAAGGATGGTACCAATTTTTTTAAAATTGTTTCTCTTTTTTCTGAGTTCAATCCCAGTGGCTCGACAAAAGGATGTATAGGGAATTTGAGATCAACTTTTTTTTTCAAAAACTCGACTTCCTGAAAGACAGTTTCATTATGGCATTCTTTATAAAACAAGTGTCTGCATCCTTTTCGAAACTGAGCGAGCTTAATTTTTTCAAGAAGAGGTATATTATTGCTTTTTCTTTGTTTGCTTCCATCTTCAAAGAGGAAAAAATCAAAATTATTTATAGGCAAACATTTAGTTTTTTTTGAGGACTGCTCAATTATTTTCAGAAGCTGTTCAAAATCATAAATGTTTGGGTGTTTTTTCATTTCTGTGCTGATTCGGCCATGAACCGAATCCGCAGCCATAAATGAATGGCCTGGTTCAAAATATTTTAGGGTGATCTCTTCTGGACCCCATTCACAATTTACAAAAGTCGCAAAAGCAGAATATAGTGTCCAATTCTTGTTCTGAGCAGAACAGTTGTCTACCCAGAATGTTAATTTTTTGGTAACATTGTCTGAATTTTTTATTACGTTGTAGTATGCCGATGCAACATCCGTCGCGGATCTGCCTCTTATAGCCTCATGCCACATCACGCAAATATTTCCGTCCTTATGAAGTGACGCAAACGTCTCATTGAATACGACCAACCTGCAACAACAAATA